ACTGTACATTATTGTTTCTCCTCTATGCCCCGCCTTTCTGAAACGTGTCGATTTTTACAAAGCTCATCGGTCTGAAAAGCGAGGTGTGCTCTGATTGGCCAGCTATCCAGTGCATTATGATTGGCTGAATACCTCAAGCGTGTGACGGAAATGTTACGCCCCTCACCATACTGTGATGCCCTGTCCGGCTGGAGCGATGATTCAAATACATTAAAACCCATTATAAACGAGGCATTCGTTGCATCTAGTGGGCACATAATTACTGATTATAATGACTTATACTGTCTTTGTGAAAGCGAAACTACTTTGTTTGGTCTTCCAAAAATGGACACGACTAGAAATCAGTGGTTAAGTTGTATTTACAACACTGTTCCAGAACACTTCAACCCAAATATTCAGATGTGTGCAGCACATTTTATGGAGGACTGTTTACTGATCCTGGGAGAGTAATGTTAAGACTACAAGCCGGCTGTTCTGACTCACGTAAGTACGTTTTCATTTAAAGGATTTGCCACTGATGATTCAAACGCGAGTTTTGGGCAGTGTAGAGAAGTGCTTGTTGTTTGTCATTTCTTCGATCACAAATGCAGACATGGTTTTATGTTTACGCGGCGCGATGCAATGCGTAAAAAGACAGTATAAGTCATTATAATCAGTAATTATGTCCCCACTGGATGCAACAAATGCCTCGTTTATAATGGGTTTTAGTGGTTTTGAATCATCACTCCGGCTGGACAGGGCATCACAGTATGGTAAGGGCGTAACATTTCCGTCACACGCTTGAGGTATTCAGCCAATCACAACGCACTGGATAGCTGGCCAATCACAGCACACCTCACTTTTCAGACCGATGAGCTTTGTAAAAATCGACACGTTTCAGAAAGACGGGGCATAGAGGAGAAACAATAATGTATAGTATGTGGAAAATAATGTGTTTTTTTAACCTTAAACCGCATAAACACATTTCATTACACCAAATACACAAAATAATGTTATTTTTAGCAGCATCATATGACCACTTTAATGTGAGTACTTTTTACGGGAATATTGTACTTTAACCCTCGTGCTGTGCTGAAAATCCTTTACCTAATTTGGTGTTCTTGGTCAAAAATGACTTTCCTTTTAAAATGTGCTTGTGATTCTCTCATTATGCTATATTATCATGAAATATTGGATTAAATCGTTTTATTAACATGTTTTCTTTCATTTAGGACAGGTATAGTATTTCAGAACCTTTCGGCCCACTGTTTGTGGGCCTTTTTGATCTAAGCATTTGAGTAAGAAAAATAAAATAAATAAATAAATAAACATTGTTTTTGGATGTTCACTTAAAAACGGAGGTGCATAAGCTCAGATCAATGAAGCATACAATCAGTTCCAAAAAGAAATACAAACCTGTGCTATAGCTGATAGAAAGATTTAATCCAGTATTTGGTAATAATATATCATAATAAGATTTACAAACTTTTAGGCCAGTGTAGGCCAGTCATTTCTGGATTGGAACTCTGCAAGTGCAACAAGATGGGGGGAAATTTTCTAAAAAAGTACAAAACTTGTGAAAAACATTTGGGGAAGTTTTTATACACTGTGTGAGCATCGTCAGTAGATTTTAGTCCAATACAGTTTGTTTCTTCATCAGATTTGGAGAAATGTAGCATTGTAGATTTTCACTTGCTCCCCAATGGATGCTCTGCAGTGAATGGGTACCGTCAGAATGAGAGTTCAAACAGCTGATAAAAACATCACAATAATCCACAAGTAATCCACACCACTCCAGTCCATCAATTAAGGTCTTAGTTTAGTTTAGTTATACTTTATTGATCAGCCTTGGCTGAAAATTTGTCTTTGGCTTTGCTTTACATACAACAATGACAGCACAAAACATTCACATAACACAATCAAATAAATAATATATTCACCTCTCCTAAAACACTGCAGTTACCGGATGGTAACAATTCAAAGACAGATCAGAGGGTGCGTTATATCTCCACTTATAGCCAAAGCTTTCCTCCTAACTGCTTTATCATACAGCTGATCAATAGATTTTTGTCTCTATGATTTTGGCTGGCATCCTTATGATCCTGTTTAATTTTACTTTGGTTACACTTTATTTTAAGGTGTCCTTGTTAAAGTGTAATTATGCATTTAAGTACTGAGTAATATGAACTAACTACATATACTTACTATATGGTTAGGGTTAGGATTAGGGTTTGGTTTAGGGTTACTTGCATGTAACTACGCATAATTAATAGTTATTATAATAGTAAGTACATGTAACGTGTAACAAGGACACCTTCAAATAAAGTGTTACCTTTACTTTATTTACAGACGTTATATTATACTATTAAGCTAATATAATCTCTTTGTAAAACACTTTGGCTAACAGAAAATTCTCTGTTTCCTTAGCAAATATAAACTCTGATTTGCTTTCTTACAGATAAAATCCAGATTGCCAGAGAAATTCAGTTTACAATCAATCATAGTTCCCAAATACTTCAAAACCTTCACAAATTCTACAGGTTGATCACATCACTGTCATTTCTGTTAAGGGTTCTGGGTGATTTAAAATCAATTATTTTGTTGAGAACTCACTTTACACAATTTTTCTCTTTTATGGAGTGGTGTGGATTATTGTGATGTTTTTATCAGCTGTTTGGACTCTCATTCTGACGGCACCCATTCACTGAAGAGGATCCACTGGTGAGACAGTGATGTAATGCTACATTTCTCTAAATATGTTCCCATGAAGAAACAAACTCCTGTACATCTCGGGTGGCCTGAGGGTGACTACACAGTAAAATCCCGAGTGTTAAATTAACACTGCTCGGAGCATACGTATATGGTCCCACTCTAAAAGAGTGTTAAAGTAACACTGAAGCAGTGTTAAAATTAATGAGATAATTATGTGATTAATTAAATGCTGATTGAGCATTAGTAATGAACACCTGCTGTTAACAAGCCGAATCACTGAAGAAAAGAAAAACATAAGAACTACAACTGACTTCAGCCACAGCCTTATGCCGAGTTCCCACTGCACGATTTTCAAACTCGTCGGATCGCCTTGTTTTCACACTGCGTGACTATCTGGGGTGGCATTCAGTCGCTGCTGTGTTCACACTGCACGATGGATCGGCGACAGGGGGTTTCACACTGCATGACTTAGGAAGTCTGGTCCGCAAACTACGTTTCACAACAAAACACACGCGAGATATGATAAGGAAATAACGCGAGAACCCGTGTGCGTCAGACCGGAGTTCTCGAGCAAGACTGTAATTATAAAAAAACAAAAAAAAACAAATATATATATATATAAAACCCGCAAATTGTCTGTGAGCTGATTTCCAGCTACAAGGAGAAAAAGAAAAACAGAGAAATATGAAGAACTTAAAAAAAACACTTTGTATACCAGTTTAGAACATTTGTACTGTTTAGACACACAGACATCAAGAATCAGCATATGAATCTCAACAATGGTGACGATCATCAGACAGATTCATGCTGCATATGTTGTCACCATCGCTGAGATTCACATGCTGATTCTTCATGTCTATGAGTGCCAGAGTTGAAACCTCTTAACGAACCATATTTCCAAAAGTGGCTAATAAAGTTTTCCCACATTGTGTTATATCATCAAACTGCATTAAAACAGAAATCATAAAAGCACTACAAATTTCAACAGCAATTAGAGACTCAGATGCATGAAATGATCTTATCATAAGTTCCTTGCCATCACACATGTGCTTTATAAACACAATTGTAACAACCAAAGAGAAACTTATATTTAATAAGTCAAGGGTCAAGAGGCAACTAAAGCAAACACTATTCACCAAAACGGTAAGTTGAAAAAAACAAAATCTAAACCTAAATAAATAAAAAGTATGACACATCAGATGAATGAGTTAGTTGTACAATCAACAAATAGTGCAATCATTAATGGTAAAAGTATGTTTATTTAATAAGAAACCACTACAAACAGAGCATAAGGAATATAATCTTTCTTATAATATTTTTTACCCTGCGACAAAATATGAATATTAATACACACTATCAAACACAATTATCACATTACAAACAATGAATAAATACTGTGAATAAATAAGGAAAATAGCCAGATAAATTCAATTTATAGACCTACTGTATGGCAAGCCAAGTAAACCTCCTAGAAAAGTCTACATCTAAATAGGCATCTACTAACACCCACAGTGACCAGCTCTGTGAATTGCTAAATGAATTGGATGTCACGGTTAAATTATACCCGTAACTTTACCTTGATCAGAAAATGTAACTTCCAAAGACACAGTCACTCAAAGTTATGTAATGATTTTCACTTGGTTTGTGTTTGGTTGTTGATTGCATTGTTTTCCAGTGGGTTGCAGTAGCTACTATGAACCCCTCAGTGCAAACATCACACAGATGGCTTATACACATAATCAGAGATTCTATATGCGTTATACGCTCTTGCTCAAAAAGTCAGCAGTTTTAGATTTATATCTCCAAAACAGTCATTTTGGTGAATGCCAAATAAATGTGCTAATGAAACTCTTGTAAGAACTAAAATCATCATGACAAATAGTTCAACACAATGAGAAAGCAAGCCTTTTGTGTTTCCGTGGGTGATCTCATTAGTATTCATAGGTATTGGCAAAAAATGCGCACACATACTTTTTTGAACGTTAAAACACCAAAACTGTACAATATCAATATTAACAGGATATAGAATGTAAATGTTTTTTTGTTTTTTCAAACTTTAAAGTTTTATACTTGGATGAATTATCTAGCAACTGAGTGTGACTTTTACATACTGGTAAATGATGGAAAATCCCTTTTTCATGTCAAATGCTTTCATAAACGAAATCTGTATGGGCCTAATAAAAGTAATCCTAACTCTTAAATGGATAGTTCACCCAAAAATGGAAATTCTGTCATCATTTACTCGCCACAAAGTTGTTTTAAACCTGTATGCATTTCTTTTTTCTTCTGAACACAAAAGAAGATATTTTTAAGAATGTGGGTAACCAAACAGTTGACGGTACCCATTGACTTCCATAAACTTTCATTGACTTCAGTGTCATATTAAGTAATATGCGGGCTTGGCTGAATCATCAAAGATAAACAAGTATAAAATGCTACTTATTTATTGATTCATACAGAACAGAATGAAACCATTATCATTTCAAAAACTGTAAATGTGTTGAATAAATAAATAGCCAACATATTTAATAAATCTTATTTATTATAAAATTCACCTACTCATTCCTTTAATTCAATATTCTATGGTCCTCAAATAATTCATTATACATATGTAAAATGCTTTATGTTTCATTAATTTGATTCTGTACATTTCAGTGTCTATCTAAATGTACATGCATGTGTTAAAAGAACCCCTTTAGGTATGAATACCTATGAAAGCTAATGCAATCATGTTGGTGCTATACAAGCTCACAATGGGCAAAAACGCAATCCCATCAGCAGTAGCACGAGATTATGTCACAATCCAGGTCCACCTCACAATCAATCCGCTTTGGTAAATAGCTTATTTTAAGTTGAGTTGTAGCCACAGCTCTTTTGAATTACGTTCACCCATCACAGAAATCATCTCTCCTTCAATTCTCATCCGTACAATGTTCATTTTGTCACAAAAAGTAATCCGGAGGAGTAGGAGAAGGCGAGGTGTTGGGATGGGAAGGCCGGGTCTCATTTGAACTGATGAGCTTCTCGTAACGGGCTTTGTATGTGTCTCGCTCTCTCAACACACGAGACAGCTCACACTGCAGCTGCTCCAGCTAGAGGAACCAAAACAGAGAGATATCACAGATATTAAATACTAAAAACTATTTGGCTCAAAAACGGCTCGGTACGGTTCACTTGTGGGGGGGGTTTCCACTGGGTACAGTACCTGGTACCTGGTACTTTTTTTAGTACCACTTCGGTTGAGGTTCCAAGTGAACCGTACCGTTACCAAAACGTGACGTGTAAACTCTGCTGATCACGGATTGGCCAGAGAGAATCGTCACTATAGTGCGTCACTGAACTTGCGACACAAACACAACAGAGCCGCTAGATTTAAATCAGCACAGCCAACGAAGGATCGAACGCAACTGTTTTGAACGAGCGCACCTTTTTTAACAACCAAAAAGTGGCTGTTTCGCTGTCTGTTGAGGAAATACAGACGTTCCACTTGTTGATAGTAGAGGAGTGGATCCAGCGAGAGCTTGATGGGGCGACGTGGAATGAAACATTTTTTTAGGCAGTAGAGGCGGTGCAACTATAACGACATGTGAATAATCCCGCCCACTCTAAAGCGGTACTGAACTGCAGTGGAAACGCAAACCGAGCCGAGCCGTTCCGTGCCGTGCCGTACCACGCAGTGGAAAAGCGCCATAAATGTCAACATGCATTTACTCATCTCATTTGCATAAAAACAAATTCAGTATTCCTCAAAATGAATAAAAACAGTAAAAAAGCAAACTCAGAATATGACGCAAGCCTGCAATAAAACAAAACAAAAATCCTTTATGTATTTAATCCCATTTTATTAACCAATGTCTTTGCTGCTGACTGTCACGAACAGGTTCAGAGGAAGATGATGAAAAAGGTTCAAACAGGTTTCTACAAACAAAAGGTTCTTTAATAAAACAAACTCAGGTAATCCAAATACGAGAAGGCAACATAACAGCGTGCCTACACACAAACAATACCAGAAACCAACTGAATGAACAGGAGGAACTTAAATACACAGGGTGATAGAACTCAGATGATGAACAGGTGATGACTAGTTAATCAGAAACCATAGTAACAAACAAGGAACGGGGAACTGGAACAAAGGAAAACAGGTAATCGACAGAAACAAATGAAAACAAAATCAAAACAGGTAGTTCGTGACACTGTCCTTCAATGATCCAATTCAACTATACGATTAAGCAAAAATGTTGCATTTGTGTAGAATTATTTTTTTTTTTGTGATTGCGATGAAAGATTTGAACTTTCTTCTCTTGCGTCCTATTCTACATGCAATCCAGAATGGCGGCACAACTGAAAGTTATTTATTTATTTATTTTTTTTAGCTTTTTAGTCATTTCACTTTTGGTGTGAGAGGTCTTTTACATTTGCCAAAATATGTTGTCCTTCAATGATCCAATTCAACTATACGATTAAGCAAAAATGTTGCATTTGTGTAGAATTATTATTTTTTTTGTGATTGCGATGAAAGATTTGAACTTTCTTCTCTTGCGTCCTATTCTACATGCAATCCAGAATGGCGGCACAACTGAAAGTTATTTTTTTTTTTTGAGCTTTTTAGTCATTTCACTTTTGGTGTGAGAGGGCTTTTACATTTGCCAAAATATGCATAAAAAATAAACAAGCAATCCAGCCCAGATGAGCAAAAGTAACGCAAATGTAACGTAAAACGTAATGCATTACTTTCCATAAAAAGTAACTAGTTAATGCAATTAGTTACTTTTTTAGGGAGTAACGTAATATTGTAATGCATTACTTTTAAAAGTAACTTTCCCCAACACTGGTTATAATTGATTTTTGTTGTTTGTGGTTGTATTTGTCTAATTTTTGTCATATTCTCGATCCAGATGTGTGTGTGTCGTGTACCTGCTGTGTGAGAATGTGTTTCTCGGACTCAAGCGCGTGCCGGTGCTGGAGTCGTTTGTAACGGCAGGACTGGGCATAACCGCGATTCTTCAGCGTCCGTCTTTTCTGTTTCAAACGGACCACCTCATCTTTGCTTACTCCACGCAAATGTCTGTTCAGCTCTCGCACTGACAGATTTACCAACTGCTCGTCGGAAAAATGCTCATCCACCCCACACTGAAAGAGAAAGAGACAATAAGAGATAAGTCAGAGATTTGTCACAGAATGGACACAACATGATGATCAAAGCTTCATCAAACACTCACATGGACGAAATGGATAAATGATTAGTACACAGCAGTTGAAATGTCTGATGTAGTGTACAGTGAGATGAAAAACACCACAGTCATATAGAAGTATTATTAATTTATTTTGTTAGTGTAGTTTGTCGTGCCTCATGGCTTTTAATTTTTTGGTGCTACTAGAGTTGTGTTCAAACAGTTGCAATCAAAATGATTCTGCAAAATAACAATATTTTATTAAAGCAATTCAACAAAAGCATCAGTAAACTATTAGAGAAAGTTTACTAATATACCAATTTGAGTGATTCTGAGAATGCAAAGTTGATGAATAATGAAAAAAAAATCAAATTGGCTCTAAATGGATAAATGATTAGTACACAGCAGTTGAAATGTCTGATGTAGTGTACAGTGAGATGAAAAACACCACAGTCATATAGAAGTATTATTAATTTATTTTGTTAGTGTAGTTTGTCGTGCCTCATGGCTTTTAATTTTTTGGTGCTACTAGAGTTGTGTTCAAACAGTTGCAATCAAAATGATTCTGCAAAATAACAATATTTTATTAAAGCAATTCAACAAAAGCATCAGTAAACTATTAGAGAAAGTTTACTAATATACCAATTTGAGTGATTCTGAGAATGCAAAGTTGATGAATAATGAAAAAAAAAATCAAATTGGCTCTAAACAAACTCTAAACTCAAAATGATTACCTTCATTTTTTCTCGCATTGACTACTGCAATGCACTTCTTGTTGGGGTTCCTAAAACCCCACTTAACAAATTGCAATGTGTGCAAATCTCAGCTGCTAGGATCCTGACTGGTGCCAGGAAAAATGAGTATATTACACCAATTCTAAAGTCTTTGCACTGGCTCCCGGTCAGGTTCCGAGTTGATTTAAAAATCATTATGCTCACATATAAGGCTCAATATCTGTCTGCACTTTTAACTTTATATACACCCAAGCGTCATTTACGGTCCTCACAAGCTGGTTTATTGGTAGTTCGACAGACACGGTTGCACTCTGTAGGGAACAGGGCTTTCTCTTCCTACGCTCCTAGGCTTTGGAATCCACTCCCTCTACAAATTAGAGATGCACAGAACCTAAGTATTTTTAAATCTTACTTGAAAACTAATTTTTTAGGTTAGCTTCTTCTTGACTGTTTTGATTTTTATATCTTAGTTTGTTTTTAATTGGTTGTCATGTGTGTGTTGTATTTTTACTTGTTTGTTTTATTATGTAAAGCGCATTGAGGTTTTAAAGGTGCCATATAAAAATAAAGTTGCCTTATGCTCACATATAAGGCACTGCATGGTCTGGCCCCTCAATATCTGTCTGCACTTTTAAATTTATATACACCCAAGCGTCATTTACGGTCCTCACAAGCTGGTTTATTGGTAGTTCGACAGACACGGTTGCACTCTGTAGGGAACAGGGCTTTCTCTTCCTACGCTCCTAGGCTTTGGAATCCACTCCCTCTACAAATTAGAGATGCACAGAACCTAAGTATTTTTAAATCTTACTTGAAAACTAATTTTTTAGGTTAGCTTCTTCTTGACTGTTTTGATTTTTATATCTTAGTTTGTTTTTAATTGGTTGTCGTGTGTGTTGTATTTTTACTCGTTTGTTTTATTATGTAAAGCGCATTGAGGTTTTAAAGGTGCCATATAAAAATAAAGTTGTTATTATTATTATTATTATTATTATTATGTCCTTCATACAGTCAAAATTTCCACTTCCTGCAACAGTAAAACACCCCCATAACAGGACTGGTCCACCTCCATGTTTGACCATGGAGTTGGTGTTCTTTTTTGCACCAGACATACCACTAATCCATGGGTCCAAAAAGTTCCAGTTTGGTCACATCACTCCATAAAACATTCTTCCAGAGCTCCACAGGTCTGTCCAAATGAATTTTAGCATGTTCAAGTCATCTTTGCTCTTCTTGGTCAAGAGTGGCATTTGGCAAGATGCCCTAACATGAAAGCCATACTTGCACTGTAAAAACTGCCAGGAATTTACAGGATTTAAGAGTATTATTTTACAATATATTACTGTAGTCAGAAATTTGCTGTGAAATCAATGCATGCTGGGTCATTTTCTTACAAATGCATGGCAATGGTAACAAAATCTATGAGAGTAAAAAAAAACATGCACAGACAAATCCAAATTAAACCCTGCGGCTCGTGACGACACATTGATGTCCTAAGACACGAAACGATCGGTTTGTGGCAGAAACTGAACAGTATTTATATCATATTTTACCTCTAATACACCACTATGTCCAACTGTCTTTGGGCGCACGCGCGGCATCCAGTGCGTGAGGTGTGTACGCACTCTGGCGTAGTTTACGCAAGCGCCGGAAGTGATTTCTCGTGTGTATCACTCATTGGTTACACAGTGCACAGTCATTGTAGGTACGATGGCTAATCAAAATGGTATTTACTTGCGCTTATCCGGATTGTTCAAACTGACTTAAAACTAAAAGATTACATTCTCTCGCGCGAACTCATTCGGGAGTGGGCATCAATGTGTCGTCACGAGCCGCAGGGTTTAATTTGGATTTGTCTGTGCATGTTTTTTTTACTCTCATAGATTTTGTTACCACTGCCATGCATTATAAGACTGATAGACTGCAACGGTTTGTGTTAAAAATCTCTGTTTGTGTTCTACTGAAGAAACAAAGTCCTACATCTTGGATGCCCTGGGGGTAAGCAGATAAACATCACATTTTCATTTTTGGATGAACTATCCCTTTAACAAGAACATTTTGTTTTAGCATTATTTAAGCATGAAGATTAATCAGTTACTTATTTCATATCCATAACTGTTTGTGGACGGATCTTTCACAATAATGAAGCAACTGCAGAGAACCGTCTTTGAAAGATGTGACATTAATACTCGACATACAAAGCACAAAAGTGGTAACACACAACAAATAAAATAACACTTACAACATAAACCAACATTATAAAATAAACCAACAACACAAACTGCTAAAAGTGAACCAAAAACAAGTTATAGCACAAATAAAACCAAGAATAAAAAAAACTCTACATTGTTAAAAATGTTAGTGTGAAATGACAGTGTATTCCAGGTTAATAATTGCATTACTTACACAGTAATTTCACAGTGGGACTTCTCTTGTCTCTAACTGCACTCTCAGAAATTTCTTGTGAACAAACAGCATCATACTGTGTTTCTACAGTGCACGTGTACTATGAAAGCACCCAGCATGCAATGCACCATGAACAGATCATGCTGTAGAGTTTTTAATTCTTGGTTTTATTTCTGCTATAACTCGTTTTTGGTTCACTTTTAGCAGTCTGTGTTGTTGGTTTATGTTGTAAGTGTTGTTTTTATTTGATGAGTGTTACCATTATTGCGTTTTGTAAACAGTTATGAATATGAAATAAGTTACTGATTAATCTTCATGCTTAAATAATGCTAAAATAAATCTTCATGTTCTTGCTAAGAAGAGTTAGACTATCTTAAAATCAGCCTGTTTCATATTCTAGCTTATAATCATTTTAACAAATGTTTTCATTTGTCACACTTCTGACATGACTAGATCAGCAATTTGAATATAAGTATGCAAGGTCAAAGAGCCCAAACAAATACTAATCACCATTATGGTGACTTCGAAACAATTGATTAGTAAACAGTTTACATTTCTCACAGTGGCTTTATAACTTTATAATGCGAATTACTGTGATGTTAGATCATTCTGCTGTTCATTCACAGTCATTTGTAAGAAAATGACCCAGCATGCATTGATTTCACAGCAAATTTCTGACAACAGTAATATATTGTTAAGTAAAACTCTTTAATCCTGTAAATTCCTGAATTTTTTTACAGTGTACTAATGTTTCAATTGGAACCAACACTACTTCACTGAAAATAAATCGATCATCTCTATAGTAACATATGAATTTGCACGTTGTTGATATCAAGTGGTTTGAACACAATTCTAGTAGTGACACAAAAGTCATGAGGCTTCATAACACTACACTAACTATTTGCAACTAAATAATTAACATTTCTTTATGACTGTGCTGTTTTTTTCTCATGACATAGCACGTTGGGTAATATAATAATAAATTAAAAAAAATGTATGCGCTTTGTGTGTAGTTTAGCTTTTGTTAGAGGTGTACTGTGTGTGTGTGTGTGTGTGTGTGTGTGATTTTAGCAGCACATTTCCATACAGCATAATCTGACTGAGTGTAAGTGACAGTGATCAGGATTACATCACAATAATAGTAGATATTACCATAATCTGATAGCACTGCTCCACATTTAGAGACAGGCATTCGCCAGCCACATCCATCAAACTGCTTTCAACACGCTTCAAAACAACATTACTAACCATTTGTAGATCAAAATATGAAACAAGGCATTCTTACTGAATTTATGCAAAACTTTGTGAAAAAAGCGTGCTTAAATGTATTCATGTTTTCAAATTTTATTTAAAGAAAAATAAAATACTTGCGGATAATGTAAAATTAAAGGTACAGGTCACCCAAAAATGAAAACATTGTCATCATTTACTCACCCTGATGTTAATTAATTTCTTTCTTCTGTTGAACACTAAAGATTTTGAAGAATGTTGGTAACCAGACAGTAGCTGGAAGCCCATTGACTTCCATAGTATTTTTTAGCATATTTGGCTACCAGCAACTGTTTGGCTACCAAGATTTTCATAATATCTTCTTTTGTGTTCAACAGAAGAAAGAAACTCAATTGAGGCTAAGTAAATGATGACAGAATTTGAATTTTGGGGTGAACTATCCCTTTAATGAAATAAAAGGCCACTTAAGTGAAAATAAAGTACATATACACTTTTTTAAAGAGTTTCCTCACTTTTTAAAGAGATTTCTGAAAAGCTAAAAAAATATTTTGGAAACTCATCTGCTGAAGAAATCTGATCCCTGTTGAGTACCTGCATGTGACTGTGTTGACAACCATTTTAGTTAAATTGGATAAACTGGTGACTGCAAGTACCTGGGTGACTTGCAGATGATGATGAAGATGATGATGATGATAATGGCCTTGCATTTGATGGTGTGGGTGATGGAGGCGGCTCTGTGGACTGAGGGGTTGTAAGAAGGGACTGGTCGATGTGTTGAGATTGGAGAGAGATGGAGGGGTAGAAGAAACGACCAGTATAGGGCAGTTACACATGTCTGATGGCTTGTTAAGAACAACATCAGCACCGCTGTCACTGCTGGAGTCACCCATGTGACTGCTGCTCGAACTCTGAGACAAAACTGGGAACTGTGAAAGAGCGGAGGAGATACAAAGAGCACATTAGAAAGAGATTACAATGAAAATGGCACATTTGGACAAACACATTTGTCCAGTGGTTTCCCTTGGCCGGTGGTTCTCAACCCTGTTCCTGGAGAAAAAACTGCACATTTTGTATATTTCCCTAATCAAAAATACCTGATTCAGGTTATTAGCTCATTAGTAGAGACTCCAAGACTTGAAATTGGTATGAGATAAATGGGACATTCAAAATGTCCAGTATTGGGTTGCTCTAGAACAGGGGTGCCCAACCCTGCTCCTGGCGATCGACTGTCCTGCAAAGTTTAGCTCCAACTCTAATCAAAGACACCTGCATTTAATTTTTAAGTGATCCTGAAGACTCTAATTAGTTGCTTCATGTGTGTTTGATTAGGGTTGGAGCTGAACTTTGCAGGACAGTCGATCGCCAGGAGCAGGGTTGGGCACCCCTGGTCTAGAACCAGGATTGAGAAACACTGGCCAATAAGATAACAAAACAAGCGCATGAATTATGATGGAAATACATTTACCGAATAAATTCCTTGATGCGCAAGAAAAAACTCATGTGACTTTGCCTCAATGTGATCATTCGATTGGATACGTGGTTGAACCAGAGGACTGATCTCGTCGCAAACGTTGTTTTAATAACCTGAGCGGAAGTACATCATCAAAATGATTTTGTATAATTACCTTCCAGAACTGTCTCACAAAGACAACTTTGGATGGAAACATCGCTTATGATCGGCAGACTATGATTAGCTGGTTAAAGTGTGCTTGTTTGGTTGGAGCTAAACTCTATAGCAAGCTCTTTGACAAGCGCTTGTGTGAGGGTTTCAACTTTAGTTTAAAAGAATACAAAAGACATTTTCATCAGTCATAACTTCTGAAGAATAATAGCACAGACACTGAACCAAGATGAAGCTTTCTAGAGTGCATGTGTCGACCGCCTGAATTTGTGCACGCTATCAAATGGAATATACTTCGAAAATCTACGCATTCAACTGTACGCTAAGAATGCAAAATGCACTCGCATAGTGAATTGTGTTTTTCAACAACTCTTGGAATGCAATGGTGTCTGAAATTGAGCTTCAAAGTTAGAAGTGTTAGTGTTCAATTGCTTGGGCCTAACACAAACAAATACATGGTCCAAATATATTACCTGTGAAGTTACGGCGGCTGCAGCAGAGTTTAGCAGGGCCTCCACTGCATCTTCACATCCCAGGAACCCTCCTCGATCCCGGTCCCCTCGATCCGGCACTCCTCCAAGAGCTCCCAGCAGAGACGCGGCACCTCCGGGCTCCCCACCGAACTGCTGCTGCAATGCAGCCAACCAGAGCAGGTCCTCCAAGGAGGTCGGGTTTGAACACGGCGTGGGGCCTCCAGCGGCTGGGCTTCCGTCCAGGTTTCCTTGAGAGCTGGAGCTCTGGCCTGACATGTACCCGGTGGAGATGGACAACGGGAAAGAGAGAGAGGAGGAAGAGGAGGATGCAGATGGTGGTGGGTGTCCGTCACTGAGCGTGGGTGATGGAGGAAGTGAGGTGTAGGGACTAGAGCTGAGGCTGGAGTCAGGAGGAGGGCGAGGAGCATACGGAGATCCGTTCAACTCTTGATGGATGCCTGGTTTGGGGTATAGGCTTGTTGGAGGAGGCGGAGGGGTGTCAGGCTTCACTTCAAACTTGAGCAGGTCAAAGTCATTGAGATACTCCATGGCCAGGGGACTTGAGGGCAAAGAGGGCAGTGGCAGAGATGAAGACATTGCTGTGTCGACAGGAAGAATGGAAGTTGTTGTTTTTGAGTTTTAAAGGCGAACAACAACAGACTTCAGTTTTTACACAGAGATGGAAACAATAATGTGCCGAATTAGACTCAATTATTAAAATGCCTGTTTCTTTGAATTGAAGGCTATCATCTGAAACTGGCAAAGAGAAAGAGAGAGAAAAAAAATCATGATTAGACATCCAAAGTCTTCTCCAGCAATACAGTGCATATACTGTATGGTAATCTGCGACCAATAATAGTAGGACTACATTAGCAGGTAATGACTAACATACTAACTGATGTGCTGGAAGGTTATGCCACATTAGACATGACAATTCCAAAGACTGGCCTGATATTACAATAAAGGCTGATAATGACACATTAAGACATTAATTTTCATGAAACGTTACAGAACATTTGTGATAACCGGCTGTTCATTTCTTGGCTTATTATGTATACCGTTGATTTATGGGTTGCAAACAGTTTCAGATTAATAGTGGAAAGGCCTAAACCCAATCCCATAATCTTAAACCATCAATCCAGTTATTCCACTGAACAGTTGCTCCTTAACATAAATGTACGACTCAAACGATATTTAATGTTAGGACTGATGAAATACAGATCAAAGTATTCATTATAGGGTAAAAGACAGACAAACTAAACACATCTTATGTACATAGAATTGAACCATTCAAAGAATGTTGTGTTACAAAATGAATACTATGGCATCTTGAGATAACACAAGTTTACATATTTTAAAACTGACAATCCAACAATATGTTGAAACTGACATAAAATCAAAGGTACAATTTATATGGTAGCAAGCAAGGTGACACACCTAAATGGTTAGATCATAAACTCAATCTACTAAAAAGTACAAATATGAAGATAAATAATGAAGAAAGATTTTAGGTTTAGGTTACAACTTCAAGTAATTCCACATTTAAATTCCAATATTGCCAAGGGTTATGTTAAACAATTTTACATTGTGTCTTTCGAGGAAAAAAAGAAATTGTATTTATTGTAGTACAGACACATCTTGAGATTAGGCAGGAATTCATTTTAATGACTGATAACTTTCATAAAGTATTTGAAATGAACATGTACTGAAATTTAAATAATGAAAAATCTGTTTCACTTAATATAAAGCAAAGTAGACAACCTTAAATTAAGAGGCTAGATTATAAACTACTAAAAATCTACAAACTTGAATATGAAGAAAAAGTGTTCGTTTTAATTAGTAATTATTAGTTTTAATAGATTCAAATCATTGAATTATTAAACATTCATTTGTAACTCCAACTTTAACTGATATGTTATCATTAAAATGCCTGTCAATAAGCGTATAAAACAGTTTTTAAGTCTTAACAATCATTATTTAAAGAATTATTTTAGCTGAGAGAACGGTTAACCTTCAATTGTTTTTTCTTAAGTTTTATGGGAAGAATATAAGAGAAGATAAAGTGGGAAAAGAGAGGATTTGAGAGTGGAATACAAAAGAGAATAAAAAAGAGTGTCAGGATAAAACTAGCATGACTAGAGAGTGACAGAGGGAGAAATGGAGAGACAACCGAAGAAAACTTTTGTTTTAAAATGTCCATGTTTCTTACCGTGTGTTCATGTGGACAGCTCACACACATCCTGAGGTATTGACTGACAGATTGACTCCTGCCAGTGTGTGTATATGAGTGTGTGTGTGTGTGTCGATGTGAGAGCATGTGCTTGGTGTGAGTGTGTGTGAGCCACTTTGGAGCTGATTGCCACTAACAGTGCCCCAGCCCTCCCCCTCTGACCCCCTGCTCCAAATCCCCATCCATCCCGTCTCTCTCTCTCTCTCTATATATATCTCTCTCTCTTTCTCTCACTCACTCTTCTGTAGTTTTTCCACCAATCAACTTATAATAAAAATGGTACATTTTCAAATGAGCAGCACACTTCTTTAATTTATCCTGTAAAGTTCTAAAATAAGATGTTACAAATCTAATTATAAAACTAGCAATAGAAAAAGTTTTTCAATCAAATAGACAAGGACTTTTACAAATCCATTACCTTGGGGTTTAAAAAGTTGACATCCAAAACTTAAAACAAAGAAAATGTCTTTGAAAATGGAAATTGAAGAATTTACAATAACACAATAACAAACTGTGTCATGAATTTACAGGTGTTGTTGAGTAACCACATGACCCATCACACCTGCATGTATATACACATATGTCTGACATGACCAGTTTTTATTATAATATTCATAGAGCCAACAGACAGACTGATGAGCTCATTTGGTTCACAGCAATCAAAGAGCCATTTACATGCTGCCACCTAGTGCACTGACTGAAACATCAACTCTGACTTTTCAGTATGACGGTCATGAAAAATTCGATAAAAGATCAATAAAAGTAGGCAAAAACTGTAATAGTAGTAAAATGATAACATAATTTTGAAGCAATCACAAATAATGCTAATTATATTGTATATGGCTAGATCTTTTAGAACAATACCCAAAAGGAAATCATTCAGGACTTTAAAAACTGTCCTGTAGCAAGACTTTACTGCAATATAATTACAAATTCTGCACACTGTAGATTTTTTTTTTATTGTAGAATTATATATATATATATATATATATATATATAAATAAAAGTATCCTGAAATTCACAGCAATTAAGATGTAATTATACATTATCTTGTGTATGACAAAACATGCACAAGTTTTGTAGCTTGGTGTGTTAAGCACAATGCAAATGCAGAGGGTTAGTGGTGGGTAAAAAATTGCCAAACTAGCACTTTTAGTGATCCTGGGGGGATAAAGTTGTTAATCTGATGTCCTAGTAATGTCTCGTTGAGGAATCAACACAGTAATAATGTCTGAGTAAATCTGATTTAGACACTGGGAGTAATACAGTGATATATCAAATCTCTCTGAAACACACATTAGACACAAGCGTACATGTGAGAATTTCTCAGTTGTAGCGTCTGGACCAATCAGACACACCATTTTTCATTTGATTTAACAAATCAATTATTCATTAGATTAACAAACATTCACAGACCCCTCACCCAATAAACATACTGGGTGCCAAGATGTCTGTGAACGAGGCCCGGGACCCTGGTTACCATGGCAACCATGACACCTTTGTGTCATACCAGATAGACTTTACGACCTAATGGCATGTTGAGAGTTCTCCCTCTCACTACATTTTCCATAGGAAAGACACATAATGCACAGCAAAATGGACTCTTCTCTAATTAATTCATAGGAAAACCTTTCTGTGAATGAACACACATCTCCTCAGGACATTGTGTATACCATTACTGTTCTTGTATATTGCCTGTTGAATTGTATACTGTTTTGTGTATGTGTTATGATAGATCACTAGTTAATGTAGCCCCACCGATGCCATGTTTGGTCTCTTTGAATTTGTCTTCTGATGATCTAAATTTATATTATATGTGGGTACATATATCCTGATGGTTTCATCCATCAAGTCTCATTTGCCCTTTCCCCTGTATGAGTGATTGATTGATTGCTTGTTTGTTAGACTAGTTTGTGTTAGTATTTAGTTAATAAAACTCTTGTGCACAAATTACGTGAGTTTCTGATTCTGCCTTGCAAATTAATTGTCCCTTTATGATTTTGATCCTTACTACATGCTCTAATGCATTAATACTGTAGGAAAGTATTTTCTGTAGCCACGGAAATATTTCTTTCCTAGAGCTGATATGAACTTACACTGAATGTTCGCTGGACAAACAGATTGGTTGATGGCAATTTAATTCTGCTATAGTTACTACTGGCAGCTGATATAACTAATTGTAATTAATCATAATTAATTGTAATTATTTATATACATTTCCCTTTTGAGCTAATTTGCTACACAGTGGATCTTGAAATTAGCATGTCCTTGAAAACTGTATTTTTAAAACAGACATTACAATAAAATGATACATCTTTTACAGCACATACAGCACATCAATTAATGAAAGGGATTGAAAATTATTCTATTATGTTCAGTGGAAACATCTGTAGGTCATTATTTAATAATAATTTGAAAATAACCACAAATCACCAGCACCAGTAGAAAAGTACAACTGGAACTGGGATTACTTTATATCCAGTAACAAAAATTTGCAAATGCCCTGATTTTACCCCAAACATAACCTCAAATGAGGTCAAGTAGAATGAGAAGATTAAGGTGTGCAAAGCCAAGAAAGAAAGCCAAGCAAATGTGTACAGTCAGAATGGAAGATTTTTTTCTAGTAAAACAAAACTGATGGCTTTTTTATAGAGAACTCTAGAATTATGCATTTTAATGCAAATTCCAAAGTGAGCAAGCAAACCCTCCAGCACCCCACCACTGTGTCCCCATCTGATCCTGCAGATACATGTCCTAATCCACTCTAACACTGTTTCAAGCTACAGATTAACTATTTCATTCAGCACTCCCAGTTGGTGCAGCATCAAGAAAATATTGTATAGGGATTAGACCAAGCATCACTGTACTTCACACTAAGAAACAATGGTTGTTTTAAGCACTGTTCACTGTGGCATATCTATAATTTGTAGACTTCTTGCAATCCAGATCCTGTCCAGGAATATCAAGTATAAATTTACCCTCTTTCTGCTGCTGTGAACGGATGTTTTTTGGAATAATAATTTGGGAATCAAATTTATAGTTCGACGTTCATAATAACTAATAATTTTATAATTCATAATAGATTTTCAAAATATGAATTCACATTCATATTTCTTGTAATATGAAATTGTAATGTGTAATCACATGATTTTTAAGAAAACTAACATCTTAAAGTGAAGGTAATAATTTATGTGCTATTATATCCAAACTGAATTACAGTAATAACTAGATCTTTTAACTTCTGCAAGGTGTCTGCAAGGTGAGCATCGATTGCTTGAATGCTTATGAAAGTCATAGCTACCATCTCTGCAATAATCTACACAATTTGAAGCATCATTGACCAAAGTATGCTGCAAAGTAGAAACAAGTAGGTGACTTGATAATAGTGATAATAGCACCACGAATGACTCTTATAGAACAGGTTTTATCAATACTCCCCTCATTTGTCACTGAGCAGAGAAACTGATAGTATTAGAATGACATTAGTTAAATCAGAAATTGACATGTCAGATGCTCAAACAGACCATTGGTTTCAATGCACCAAAGAGTGCATTACACTTATTAGTGTAACTCTTTTTTACTGATTCATTTTGGTGATTCATTCTGGTGAAGTGTCTTCTAGGTGTCTTTCCAACCATGTGCTTCTGCGTACGGCAGTTTCCTTAACTCAGATGACGGACACGATCCCTGTCTCACGTGTCTGGGCTGCAAGCATGCTGAGACGACTTTCGTGGATGGTTCATGCCTGCATTGGGAGCATTTGTCATCTGATGCTGAAGACTCTGCTGAGCAGCCCCCGGCTTTGGTGGATGCACAATTAGAGGCAGAAGTAGAGTTGATGGCCAAGCTCTTTGGGTCGCCAAGAGCATCGGGCCGGAGGTTAATTCGCCTCCATCCCTGAACGCTCGAGGCTGGACGATTGTGACTCTCAGCCATGCTCCATCCCAGTGCCTTTCTTCCTGGAGGTTCATGAAGAACTTACTAAAACGTGGAAGGCTCCCTACACTGCCCAGTTACGTTTGAGCTCTTCCCTCCTCACTACCCTTGATGGTGGGGCGGCCAGGGGGTACTTCGACGTTCCCCAGGGGGAGTATGCAATTGCAGTGCACCTGTTCATGCCTCCCATCCAAAGCCTGTAAGTTGACGTCAACCCTGGCTGCCAAGGCTTACAGTGCAGCAGGCCATGCTGCCTCCGCCCTGCTCAAAAAAACGCTTCTCAGGGCACCGTTAAATCTTTCCAGAAGGCCACGAAGCACCCCTGAGATGGGCGACCCGGAGATGGAAGGAGTTGCTTTTTTGGGGCCACTAACATCTGGGCCCCCACCCCCGCAACCAATGATGCCTGTTCTGCTTCCCGTCCAAAGCCTGTATACTGATGTCAGCCCTGGATGCCAAGACTTACAATGCTGCAGGCCAGGCTGCCTCCTGTATCCTGCAAGTACACCAGACCAACCCACTAAAAAAAACTGTAAGAGGGTAGTTCTGACCAGGGGTTGATGCAGGAGCTGCGCACAGCGACTGACTTTGCCCCCGTCTCCCAGGCTGTCCTCTGACGGCCCCCGACATTCTCAATAAAAGAGCAATTTCCTTCATCTCTGGGTCTGATGTGTTGGGATCTGTGAGCGATGCTCTGCTTCCTCACTATCAGTCTCGACACAGTGTATCACCACTCAAGAGGTTGTGGTTGCAGGATGCTCCGCTTCCTCACGCTTCCCTTGCTACCTTCCCGTGGGATCCAGGGAGTCAGGTAGGAACTTCTCCTCTGCCTCTACTTCGGGACACCATGCTTCCCAGGTTGGGCCCTCTTCCTCCCCTCTGCTGACCCACCATGGGTACATCAGGAATCGTCCCTATGGTGCCGCTTGCTCAGAATTTGGGGGCCTGGCTAACGCTCCCCATCCTGTCTGGCTGGCTCATTCGGACAATTTGATTCAGCTATGCAATTCAATTCACCAGGTGCTCTCCCAGGTTCAGGGCATCTTCTTTATGTCAGTGCCAGACAGGGATGCCCCTGTCCTGCATGCAAAGATTGCAGTCCTCTTGATGAAGGATGCAAGAAGAGCCTGTCCTTCCACACGAAATTAAA